AGTCGTCGAAAAAACAAATTAAAAAGTTATTTGCCATTTTTCGTTCCGAGCAGTAGTTTTTTTAGATAAAAAGGTTCAAAACAGGCCAATTATACATTACGGTTGAACGGAAACTTGTCCGTGAGTCGTGCGTCGATATTGTTAATGCACTAACACTATCGACACGCGACTCACGGACAAGTTTCCGTTCAACCGTAATGTATGATTGGCCTGTTTTGAACCTTTTTATCTAAAAAAACTACTGCTCGAAACGAAAAATGGCAAATAACTTTTTAATTTATTTTTTCGACGACTTTCTTGCTATGGTATTTTGACTCGCGAATTTCAGGACACCCTGTATATATGCGCGATTAGTTGTGTTCGGCATTGCGAATCTGAGGCGTCGGAGTTAGGCTGATGGCAGACAACCATCCGTAAGCGCTTAAGGACTTACGTAAGCCGTAGACTTAAGGCAAGGCAGAGAAAAACGTAAGTCCGTAAGCGCTTACGGATGGTTGTCTGCCATCAGCCTTACTCCCTTGCGTTCGCGCGAGCAAGAGAGAGACTACGTTTCCACCGAGGGTCAGAGTCGGGCTAGAGTCGGGTCAGAATCGGATTGGGGTTTGGTGTTTCGGTGTTTCCACCGCAAAAGTGCTCACCCCAACCCGATTCTGACCCGACTCTAGCCCGACCCTGACCCTCGGTGGAAACGTGGTCACTGATGCACGAGACAGAGAGGGAAAAGCATTCCGACGCCTCCGATGTGTAATGCCGAGCGCGGCTATCGGCGCTGTCAATCGGGGAAATGCAACGTGCCTGTCTTATGTATCACGAGACACGGTAGAGTCTCGCGCCAAGTATAAGCGACAAACTATTAAGTGACAAGCTAGAACCACGCGCGCGATAACTTTTACTTCGCGGGTGTCCGAAATGACTTCGAAATGTCTCCTCTCTCTCTCTCTCTCGCTCCCCAGATAGCCAGTATGCTCAAGCAATGGATGGAAATAAAATGCCAGCAACTGATGCTCTGGCTCTTTGCTGGGAATATGAATTCAATGTTTGAGTGATTTAAGTACAGCCAGCATAATGTTAACATAGTGTCGTGGTTAAATGCACAGCTAAGGAAGAGCACATCGAATAGGCATACTGTTAAAGAATTAGCATATATTGTTTTCGATTTTCTAACAGACATAAATATGTTATATCTATTACATCTGACCAAGCACTTAATGCTAGCATAATGTTTGAATCGTGCAAATGTCTCATTTCCGACACCAAATGCTAGGAAACAACAGCACAATAAACGACATAGATGCAGAGCAAGATGCTAACATTTTTCTTAACAATGTAAAAGCAACTTGTGCTCACACTGGGCTATCTGGGTTTGTCTTTTCAACAATTGAATGTACCCTAAACGACCTGTCGAACGATGTACAGCGCGCGTTTGTGTCTCACAATGTAATGTTTAAAGTTACGCCACATAGACGACGTCGCATTGTGTTAGCGGCATGAAATAACGAATTTGAAACGGAAACAAACGCACTATATATTTTACGCATGTATAAAATCTTGTAGCAATAAAGACTTATAAATACGTTCACTGAAATAGTTTTTTTTTTGTTAATTTATTAAATTACCTCCGAGTTAATATCTAAAGTATCTTTGACAATACATACATACATATGTGTGTGTGTTGTCTGCTTTCTTTGCGGTAAATTCTTTTGTTTCTAAAAGACAGATTACCCAGTAAACACCAATTAAGTGACAATTACATAACGTCAATATTATAATTTTCTACTAAACAATAGGTTTGTTTTCTGTTCCTGCACTGGTGAACTATATGTGCAGTAAGCTAGAATGAGAAAATGTATACTTGTCTTACTCCAATTTATTGCACTGTCTACCAGTGTAGCAACAGGAAAGAAGCCTTATATGTAAATGTAACAAAACGTGTGTAAGATTACATTTGCATTGTTGAGTAGGAAATCATAATATCGATGTCACTTGATGTTCACTGGGTAGTAATATTATTAGATTGATTATGAAATGTAATTAGATAATACTATTTTGACTTTAGCTTAAGACCGTTTCAAGACTGAGAGCTATCAGCACGTTTGTTATCTCGTCGCGTTGCAAAAGAAAAAGATGTATATGCAAAAATATCAGCTAAACAATACAGTCCGACCGTGTAACGCATTGTTAATATTTGTGTTATTTACATACACAGTGATACGCTGTGTATATCACGGTAGCGCAGATATACGTTTGAATCGGGATTGTATGCGAAATGGAAATGTATTTTATTATATTGTGCATACGCCTCTCATGTAGTTTTCTATTTAATTGTAGATTGAAAAAATATTTTAAGGTACATAAATGAACAGTGATCCTTTACTGTGCTCGATTTTATAATGGAGAAAGCGCAAGCCGGAACGGTGCATAAATCCGAGTCTAGTTCCCCGGTTACGTGTGCCAGTAAAACTGATACCAATGAACTGTCGAAAGAGAAAGAGGAAGAGTTGTTATACGGCGCTGAAGAAGGGGACGATGAGGATGCGCTGTCCGATGACAGTTTGCGCTTGAGATTATCTGACGATGAGGACGCTGAGCAAGAGAATGCTACGACAAATGACACAAATATTGCGAAATTGAAGTCACAAAGTGAAACAACTGGTACGTAATTGTCTCTTTTACCTGTGAGAATTAAATTACGTTACTTGATATGTTATTGAGTAATTTTTTAATGACGTCTCAATATATGTTTCTTTCCATAATAAATTAACTTGCAAACTGGGAGAGAAATTAATGAAGTGTGTTAAGTCTAGAAATATGAACGTCACGAACAGAGAAGAGAAGGAGAGTGGTTGTGGTTTTATGAAATTAAACATTTAAATGGGAATCTTTTTCGTTTTCTAGTATCTGCGTAAATATTAATATTAATATTTTCTTTACAGAACGGCCGATGTTAGATCCGATCGCAGGGAAAACATTGTGCTCTGATCTTCAGAAGACTGTGGAAGACAATCCCAAGTCTGATAGTGAAGAGTCAGCGCAGAAGGAACATGATACAGGTAAGGTTTTGTACAACACAATTTTAAATAATTACCAAGCAGTTTTCGTCACTTCAAGAATATCGATGCGAATTCCTGAATTGAACTTGTGCAATCACTCCTTACACTACTTCCCCATCTTCAAAACGTTGAAAACGTAGGAGAGAGATTCTTCCACTCAGTTGACTGAAATTTGTTGCAGCAGTCAAGGCCCTAGAAAATTCAACTTTATCCTTAAACGAATATACATCCGAGAGCGAACGAATACAAGATAACACGTGTAACTCGGAAAATACCAATGTGACTCTTGATGAATCCAATAAAGACTGTGCGTTCAACTCTAGCAAAGATTTAAAAATGACTGGTGTAAGCAACGCGTGTTCAAGTGGGGTATTGAAGGAACATGCCAAGTTAAAAAGTGATGATTCGTGTACACAGAATTGCACACACACGAGTAATGTAGAACCAACAGTTCACAGCGAAGAAAATCTAAAGGAGGCAGCCAGCGACAGTGAAAAGATCACTTTGGCAGACACCCGTGAACTAAATAAATTAGACAATGTAAACAGTAATGTTTCTTCTACAGATTCCACTAATGCTAAGATATGCAAGGTCGAAAAATTGTTTACAACCGTGATCGTTTCTAACAGTGACGATGATAAATTGGGAGACAAACATGTGAAAAATAACAATCACTCTTTGAAACGTTCGCAAGTCGATTTTAATAATCCCGCAGATTACGTGAATTTAGTCAAATCCGACATTTCGAAGGATTTATTTAAAGATACTGTCACATGTAAAAGTAATAACAAGACTCTGGAGCTTGTGGATATAACAGAAGATAAAGTTGAGTCAAATATATCGAAATTCGTGGAAAACGTAACGAATACTTCGTCGATACAAAACCAAAGTGATTCATCCAGTGTTAAGGACAACGCAGAAGTAACAAGCGAGGACCGTGTTGCGAATCAATCTGTAACGCAAACTGTAGATAATAATTTAAGATTACAAAATATTTCATTGGTATCTAACGATACGGATCATTCTAATAATGAGAAGGAAACGAGTGACGTTGGTGCGGCCGTTCTAAGGAAAAGAATTAAAAGAACAACCGTTACAAAACAAAGTGGCACTGAGGAAGATAAACAAGGTAGGAAGTATTTAACGTCAGAAACAAAATATGACAACATTGCATCCATTTCTAATAAAAGATTAAAGAAAAGGGAGAAAATATTTTGTTAAATATGATAGAGATCTTAACAGTTTTATGTAGTCAAGTGCAATATTGCTGTCTAATTTCTAAGCGGATTTATGGACGATTATGTGTCTTACGCGACATTTGTCTTACGCAAAAACTTACGAAGGCAATATATTAACTCGCAAAGTATCTTGATATTTGCATGTATTTACAACAATAATAATAGTAATAATGATAAGATAAAATATGTGATTAATATAGAGGAAGATTGTTTCAAAATTATTAAATTTTATCAGTATTAATTATAGGAAAGTATATGTTTTAAAATAAATCATTTCCAGTACAGTCTGTGTGTCTTGTGTGCAAAAGTGTCTTATTATGATTTATTTATAAATAAATCATAGTAAGTATATACATATAATTGCTGTGTAATTTTTAAATATACATATTAAGCTCTTTTTGCATTTTATTGTTACAGAGGAAAAGGAGCCCGGCCGGCAAAAGCGGAAGACGGCTAGAAACGCCGAAGAGATAATCAGGAAAAAGTATCTTGTTAGCGACAGTGATTCTAGCGACAGTTCGGAACAATTTGTGACACTAAACAAAGTGAGTCAGAATATACATCCTGTGTCACCATCTCCATTGAAACGTTATTGTTCGGAAAACGAAGTTTTTAATGGTAATACGAAGAAAGCGAAGATGACTACCGAGGAGAAAAAGGATGTTGCGCAATTATCCTTCATTGAGAAATTTTTTCGGCGGGATTTCAAAGAGAGATTACCACGACTTACGCAGGAGGTAAAATATATTTACATTAAAATATTTATTGATAATTCGCTGTATTTGCTGTACAACGAATTTCAATTAATTACAAAAACTAAGATGATTGCTTATATAAGTGTTGCTGTTTTGACATGCTCCAGGAACTGGAGGAGCTTCTGATTCAAAAGATTGTCGAAACAATTGCGATGCGCAGCGAAATTGGACAGCTCAGAGAACAAGCTCGCATATCAGAGAGATATCAAGAGACGACACGTGTAAAGATGCAACAGCTGATAAAGCAAGTGAAGGATTTTGAGATGGTCCTGAACCGTAACGCGATAGACCGCCGTGCGAATCCTGATAAAACTGTCGCGCCAATAAAAATAAACAGATCTGTAGGCTTGCAAGTCAGCTTTATAACGGTATATTTTATTTATTACAGAGACATTATATAACACATTTACACGGTATTCACTTAAAATTATGCAAGCGATCGATTAAATACGCCCCGCTCGTTAGGAACACGGAATGCAGAACCTACGGCAAACTGCGAATGTCAAACCTACGGCGAACACCGCGAACAGCACCGACACTTCAACTACCGAGACGATTAACAACGCAACAAGCCCGAGACGCGTTGGAATTAAAGTAAGATCGCCCCGGCCCGTGGTGACAGTGTCTGCCCCTGTGATTACGCAGACTCATCCAGTTCAAACGGCGCCTGTTCTTTCCACCGTGACGCCCGCAGCTTTGGTTGTTGCTAAACCTGTGGAATCCTCACACCCGCTAACGCTGCCCAACCAGTCTACCAATATACAGCCGATCTTACCTGCTGTGAGTAGCACGAGATTTGGGGCAGGGTGTTCTGTAAAAACGTTATGTAACGCTGCGATCTTTCTAAGCTATGTGGCAATGTAGTGCAAAAAGAGAAAGAACAACGAGAGGACAAGCTTGTGGAGCTTTCAGTCTTTTTACAGAATACACGGCTTAGTCTAATGTCATTTTTGTAATCGATATAAATCAGACCATTTCACAATGTCGCATTAATTTAGCAAGCAATTACAATTTAATATGAATTTTGCAGCCACAACAGCAGATTCAGTCGCAGTCACATCAGACTATTGTCCTAAACGGCAAGATACAGAATCAAGTAAATCGTCCGCCACTGATAGCTCCGAAACCAAGAAATAACGATCTTATTGACCTGACGGACGAGGAAGAAAAAAATAAATGTATGTTTATCTATTTAGTGCATATGCGTATTTACATGTGCGGAGACAGAGCATGGCTTTAAGGCCATAATCTGTCTTTCTTACGACACGTGATCAACAGCTGTAATTATCACGTTTTCCATTATTGTCTAAAGTCTAACATATCGAATTCTGTATTGCAACAGCCAAAATTACAACTGCAACCGCAGCATCTATAATTGAGCAGCAGTTGAATGTAACGTCAAAACCTGCGCAATCTTTCCCAAGGGTATTACAAGCGATACCGGCGAACGTAGCAATTGCGGCGCAACCGACTAGTATAAAAGTGATAACGACTAATCAACAGCCAACATCAACTGCTCTCGTCGTAAGTATTTTTATCTGCTACACATGTGTAATATTTATGCATACCGTACATGTATGTTTAATATTTATAATAATATTTAAAAAGGAACAAAAGAAATGCGTAATAATGTGTGTAATATTTTTTTTTTAGAATAATGTGAATCCGCCCAGACTAGCGTATGTGATGCAAAGTGGCACGGGCTCGCCAAGACAAGTACTGATAGCAAACTCCAATCAGCAAGTACAGGTAGCAACGATTTCTCAACAGATGATGCTAGAACGTGGGACATGGGACCTCCTTCCCATTACTAGACGTAGAATGTCTACTTGCGTAGCAGATCAGTGTAGTCAGGATAGTTTGTAGCTCTGTGCTAACACGGGTGATTCGGTAGAATCGCTCCGTATATTTTCCCGATAAGAGACATTTCAAGATTCAACGCTTGAAGGAATTTAAGCACGAGGTTGTTCGACCAAAGTTAAGCGCATGAATTTCCAGGAATTTTTAGAATTGCGTCAAACAACCGAAACGGTAATAACGGCGCTTAAAATGCTCCAAACAGAAAAACCAAAATATCGGTGTAGCCAAAGTCGAAGCTTAGTGGTAGGCGGGAGGGGCATGGGTTTTGTGTCCCACGTTCTGGCATTACTAGCCAGGAAACTTCTTTCCGAGAATAAAAAAAGTTATCGCAAGTTACAATGACTTCGTATAAATGAAAAATATTTTTTAGATACGACCAGTAAATGCGCCAAGATCATCTTTTTCCACTGTTACTTACAAGACAGGTAATTAAATTGTGTCAAAGATAAGTGTATGTTGTTTTGCTACGATTTAAAAAAACTATAGTAGAAAGTGGTAACAAGTGTGATGCTCGTCCCATTAATTTGCATCGTGTCATTTACTTGATTGTTTTGTCAACAGGAGTGCCAACACTCACAAATGGTGCTGTGCGCGTATTAACCACGCCGGTTTTACCAAAAATACAGATAAGTAAGGTGAATGTCGACGAATAGATTGTTCTACTCGTACATTGAACGCGACTACAACTTCAGTGCTGTTTTATTTCAGCATCCAGCACCACTGCCAGACATTCCAAATTACGCAGCAACACCTGGCTGGAAATTTCCACCGCCAGCACCATCGTTGAAGATTTCCAAAGTGTCAAATGGTAAACTATACGAATGTCTTTATATAATTTAAGTTTAAACTGTGAAACTTTTAATATAACATTAATTAATGTCGCACAGGCATAGTGTTATCCTGGAACATGAATCTAACTGATAAATTTGCGGATATCGCCAGTTATCAATTGTACGCGTATCAGGAAGTCGCTGGCGTGAGTCCTAGCACTTCGCTGTGGAAGAAAGTGGGGGATGTGCGCGCACTTCCGCTTCCTATGGCGTGTACTTTGACTCAGGTAAATTGAAACATGAATGTTGTAGCTCGTTGAAAAGATGGAACGGGTCTCCCGCTTCGTCGTTTCCTTCACAACACTATAAGAATGATATTGTTGTTACAGTTTTCCGAGGGTAATAATTATTATTTTGCGGTCAGAGCGGTTGACACGCATTCTAGAAAAGGACAGTATAGTATACCTGGCAATATCTCTCTGTAAAGGAGTAACATCAAGTTTTGAGATCTCTATTGCTTCTGTTTGCCTTTTATTACTTTTTACTTCTGCGTTCAACGCGTAATTGTGATAAAAATAGTATGTAGATAACGTCTCACATTAACACAGTATATTACAATGGATCTGATTCAACGGTTCATTTAGCTACTGTCCATCTTTTGGACTATTAAATAAATGCGATAATTACTCCAGTTTATACTACACCTATAATATAACACAAATGCTTCCAATGGCACACACTAATTTATTGTACATATAATTCCCAATTTGATAATAGATGTCTTGTTTCTTTTTATTAATTTCTTTTAACAGGCGAATTTTCATACATTCTTTTGGAGCAAAGTATTGATCGATTGCAACTGTAATTGTTTATTTCTTAAAGTAATTTTTATTATAAATTCATGAAATTATTTCAACGTTTTTACCTTCTAATTTCTATTATTTATAAACATTTAATAAACCGTCATACAGTGCATAAGATGGAGAGAATTCTAGTCAGATTTCATACAAAATTCAAATATACGTAATATTCTTCAAAGACTGGTTTTGCAGGACGGATATTATTATTCGAGCCCAATTAAAGGTTCTAAGGCGAACGACATGCTGTTTGATTGTCTGCGTCGAGTGTCACTGAACGCTAAACGAGAGATAGCAATAATCAGCGATAGACAGACATAACACTCGTAGCACAAAGTGGGAAATGTTTTGTACATTAAGTATTTCTTGGTAAAATCTTACTCGTATGTATAATTATCGGATAATTTATTATTCATAATAATGTTAAACTAAAAGCAAATAGTTTAACAATCTATGATACGTTATGTATAGGGTATTTCATCTTAACGAAATATCTCTTAAACTTGATGTCGTACAGAAAAATCTTTCAGACAAAAATGGTCTAGATAATTAATGGTAAAATGGATGGTAAATAATTTTCGAAAAGAATTCATTTTTTAAAGTCACACGAAGGTCATTACCATCCTTTAAACATTTTTTAACACACACGCGCACGCACAGTTATTATTTAATTATTTTTATGAACAAAATATGTAACAATTGTATATATACAGTATTATTATTCGTTACATTTTCATACAACATTTTAATATAACATATTCTTGTGTAATTTCCCGACGTGTTTCTGTTAAGATAATTTATCTGTAATAAAGAAAAGTTCTCCAGTTGTAGTGACCAAAGCATTCCCCACAAAAATGAACTTACTATTGTTATTTTCGTTCAATACTAAATTGCAAAGGATCAAATAGCATGCTGTCTTTTATTTTTGGGATTTTAAGTTATTATTAGTCACGCAAGATTGAAAAACTTCCTTGTCCCGTGCCTTCTTTCCAGACGAATAAGCACTAAACTAAATTCAATTACTATTTAGCAATTCCGTATTTCTGTTGACGGTATCTTTCAATTTGACATTTTCTCTTTCCAACAATTAACTGCAATGTAATCATTACAACAGATAATTTGCTCAATTTTTATATAGCTAACTTCGGATGTGTATTTGTAACACTAATGTACGTGTTGTAGGAAAGTATTTTCTAATGAGCGAGAAATACATTATCAGTATCGCTCGTGTGTAAATACCAATACATGTGTATATATACATGTATATGTATACATATGTTTGTGTATGTATATCATATGTCATTGTTAGCTATATATAGACTATTGTAGACCATAAGCGATATTTGCATACCGATTAAATCTAATTTAATAAACTTTATTTACTCCTCGTGTGATAAAATAAATAGTTAAATTAATTATCTCTTATATTATTTATATGAACAAGTAAAATTTTCAACTAATTAAAATTCTTTTGCATAACTTTGGACTTTATTCTTTGCTCTCGACATATATATTGTTCTCGCGTTATCATCCTTCTCGATCAACTCAACCAAACGTACAGTTACATAAATATATTCCAACTTTTATATTTTATAAGAGATGCTGCGCGCGCGTGTGTGTAAAAGTTAATAATTTACGAATTAAAGAGCATTTCAGTCATATTTTTCTCGTGCGATTAAACGTGTCGGGATCAATTTAAGAATTTGTATCGATCAATCGAGTGTCTTGACGACACTCGATCGAGACGGTACAGTCACAGTATAACCAGTATGGGCACTCGCTCTTTTGTTTCACGTTCGCGCCGATCCGTACTGCGCATCCGACATGTTTTTATTATAACCAATCACAGGATTTTTGTACGTGTGTTAGTGCAAAGTCGGTGTGACATAGAAAAATTCGCAGTGTTGACGAATAACGCGTGAATACTTTTATACGTTGGAGCAAGTAATTACATTAATTACTTTTATTAGAACATTTTCTTTCATAGGCCATTTCTATTTACAATAAATAATGTACGCCAGTTCGTATGCGCTTTTCCTGGATACGATCCTGAAAAGGACCCAGGCACTTTTAGCCGTTGATACACTGTTGGATATAATAAAAACATGGCGGAAAATTGAGAACGCCCAGATCAAAGGTGCCGACAGAGAGTGCCCATACTGGTTTTACTGTGGTACGCACGTATTCCATATGAATATTAGCAGTCGTGTGACGAGTTAATCGCGTTAGTTTGCCAACAAGGAGAAAGAGGTTCTTAAGGAAATTTGGTCGGTATCAGAAAGTCAATGTAAAATCCAGAAACAGCAATATTCGTAAAAATTAATAATTTTCTGTCTCTCTTTCTCCGCTTTTTCCTTCTCTTTTTTCCTGGGTACATATCATGGAAATGTTCGAAACAGATTTCGATTGTGATTATTCTGTTTCCCCTAGAAAACACAATAAAAATGTAGAAAATAATTGAACGATTCCGATCGGAATCAATTCCGAACATTTCCATCTATGATAGATGCCCTGTACTCCTCAGCTTTCGAAACAAATTAATCAATAGTCTTCAGAATCTCTCTAAATTATGCAACGTCAGTCTATCGATCTGTTTGTATGTACATACATATATACATGGAACATTCCAGCAATATTGCTGTAACATCGCGGCTGTATTGACAGATCGCCGAAAGGGTGCGTGTTTGGAATTTTTCGGAATGAGGATTTCGTTCAAAGATGTTCAGTTATTTCCTAGATTTCTATTGTGTTTTCTAGGGAAAACGGAATAATTTCGATCGGAATGAATTCCGAAAAATTTTATAAGGGTGCCGTCCCATGGCGCGTATCGCGATACGCGCGTATCGGGCGTATCAACTCGTCGACCAATCACGGACGATCCGCCGTTTTTGATACGCTCAACAATCTGCTGAACAATATTCGAGCGGATCGCACACTCACACACCAGTGATGTGCTGCGTGGGATTTTTCCCATCCCGAGAGCATCCGTGCGCATGCGTGAAGTGACGTCACAGGTAGACGTCGTCTGCTACTACGGACGTACATAACCAGCAATAGGTAGGTGCATAAGGGGTCCCGTATCTTTCCCGCGTTATTTAGCTTTGGTTGTTTAGCTGTTTAGTTTGTTTGTAGTACGTAGTGATAACGCGTAATACTTTGTAGGAAATGAATGATAAACAAGAGAGAAGATGATTTTCTTTAAATTTCTCTTCTCGCTGGGATCTAACGACACCTTAAATTTGTCCGCGGTGTATACGTTACTGAGGAGTTAGAGCGTTTGCTTACTGCGCATGTGCGAATTT